TGTGTGTGTGTATGTGTGTGTGGTGTGTGTGTGGTGTGTGTGTGGTGTGTGTGTGTGTGGGGTGGTGTGTGTGTGTGTGTGGTGGTTTTGGGTGTATGTGGTGTGTGTGTGTGTGTGTGTGTGTGTGGGGTGTGTGTGTGGTGTGTGTGGTGTGTGTGTGGTGTGTGCTATGTGTTTATGTATGTGTGTGGGGTGTATGTGTGTTTTTGTGTGTGTGTATGTGTGTGTTGTGTGTGTGTGTGTGTGTGTGTGAGTGTGTTGTGTGTAGTGTGTTGTGTGTGTGTGTGTGTGTGGTGTGTTGGGTTTTGTGTTGTGTGTGCTACCTTGTGTGTGTGTGTTGTGTGTGAGGAGGGTTAGGGGGGGTAGGTGGTGTGGTTGAAAGATCCGTCGTGTAGGCACAAATTTAGTCTCATTTATCTTTCCCAATTATGCTACTCTCTCCACTTATTGCCCTTTCTGGTTTACGTTATTAATTGTTGCTGGTTATTATCATTTTCCTTGTTCACATTGAGAGAGGACTTCCTAGCTTCCTAAGTATTCTTACTGCTAATAACTACCGGTAGTAACACTGCCTGTGTGCGTGTGTGCATGTGTGTGAGTGTGTGTGTGTTTTGAGTGTCTTGTGCGGTGTAATGACTGGCCGCAACTTCTTGTGACCTGACACAACCCTCCTGGGACTTGACGACCCTCGCACGGTCTTACAATGTTGCCCTTAAAAGCTTGTCCCACCTACCTTCTCACACTCGTCAACACTATATTCACTATGTCTATGCTATTTCTATTCTAATTCTGGTAATAGCTTGCAGGAGTGAGTGACCAGTATCAAACAGTATGCAAGGCCAGCCAGGGCCGTCAACATGCAAACCACAAATAGGCGAATAAACTTGCGCTCAATGGTGCGGTGACAGGTTGCCAGCTGCTGATGATGGAGTCGTCGTACGTAGGCCTTAAATCCCTATTTTGGAGATCCTTCACCCGTGATGTTTATAACCATATATTCTCATACATCCCGCTTCCTCACGCGATGTCACTCTTCACTGTGATAGTATTACACTTCACATTATATACACTTTACTTTATATGTATAATGGCGCACAACTTGTCGTGACGTTACTTCTTCAGGCCTACCGCTGCCAATGTGGCAACAGTGCCTAAGACCCCCAACGGTTTGCGCTTTGAAATATTATGATTTCAGCTTTCCTCTCACTTTCTTTAACTAATAACTTTAATTATCACTCGTAGTATTGTTCACTGACGTTCCACTACCACTGATTACTGCTAGCTGTTATTGCACGCCTTTCAACGCTAAGGTTCTCGGAGCCTTGTTACCCACGTCTGCACCCCACGGACCCACGTGTGTGTGTGTGTGTGGTGTGTGTGTGTGTGTGTGTGTGTGTGTGTGTGTGTGTACTCACCTAATTCACCTAATTGTGGTTGCAGGGGTCGAGTCTCAGCTCCTGGCCCCGCCTCTTCACTGATCACTACTAGGTCCTCTCCCTCTCTGCTTCCTGAGCTTTGTCATACCTCTTCTTAAAACTATGTATGGTTCCTAGCCTCGCTACTTCACTTGCTAGGCTATTCCCCTTCCTGACGACTCTATGACTGAAGAAATACTTCCTAACGTCCTGTGATCGTCTGAGTCTTCAGCTTTCTAGTTGTGACCCCTTGTTTTCTGTGTCCCTCTCTGGAACATCCTATCTCTGTCCACCGTGTCTATTCCCGCAGTATCTTGTATGTCGTTATCATGTCTCCCCTGACCCTTCTGTCCTCCAGGTCCGTCAGTCCGATTTCCCTCAACCTTTCCTCGTACGACATTCCCCTGAGCTCTGGGACTAGCCTTGTTGCAAACCTTTGTACTTTCTCTAACTTCTTGACGTGCTTGACCAGGTGTGGGTTCCAGACTGTTGCTGCATACTCCAGTATGGGCCTAACATACACAGTGTACAGTATCTTGAACGATTCCTTATTAAGGTATCGGAACGCTATTCTCAGGTGTGTGTGTGTGTGTCTTAGCTGGTTGTTACTAGGTCCAAATTCTCCCCTCTCTATGAGCTTTATCGAACCTCTTCAAGCTATGTATGAATCCTGCTTCCACTACATCACTCTCCAGATTGTCCCACTTCTTGACAACTATATGACTGAAGAAATACTCCCTAACATCCTTGTGACTCATCTGAGTTTTCAACTTTCAGTTGTGACCCTTGTTGCTGTGTCCCATCTCTGAAACATCCTGTCCCTATTCACCTTGTCGATTCCTCTCGGTATTTTATGTCGCTAGGGTGAGTGTGGGTGTGTGTGTACTCGCCTAATTGTACTTGCAGGGGTCGAGACTCAGCTCCTAGCCCCGCCACTGATCTCTGCTCTGCTTTGTCATACCTCGTCTTAAAGCTATGTATGGTTCCTACCTCCACTACATCACTTGTTAGGCTATTCCACTTCCTGACGACTCTTCTGACTAAATAAATGCTTCCTAACATTCCTGTGACTCGTCTGAGTCTTCAGCTTCCAATTGTGACCCCTTGTTTCTGTGTCCCCACTCTAGAACATCCTGTCTCTGTCCACCTTATCTATTCCACGCATTATGTTGTATGTCGTTATCATGTCTCCCCTGACCCTTTTGTCCTCCAGTGACGTCAGGCCGATTTTCCTCAACCTTCCTTCGTAGGACATTCCCTTGAGCTCTGGGACTAGCCTTGTTGCAAACATTTGTACTTTCTCTAATTTCTTGACGTGCTTGACCAGGTGTGGATTCCAAACTGGTGCTGTATACTCCAGTATGGGCCTGATGTACACAGTGTAGTGTCTTGAACGATTCCTTACTAAGGTATCGGAATGCTATTCTCAGGTTTGCCAGGCGCCCATATGCTGCAGTAGTTATCTGGTTGATGTGTGCTCGGCGTTATGCTCACCCCAAGATCTTTCTCCTTGAGTGAGGCTTGCAGTCTTTGTCCACCTAGCCTATACTCTGTCTGCGGTGTGTGTCATTCATTCAGTTTGCATGTCTCTACACTTTATTTAAATCAACGGGGGCCCCGTGGCCTAGCTGGCAAAGCTCTCGCTTCACACGCTGAAGGTCCGGGTTCGATTCCCGGCAGGGATGAAAACACTGGACGCGTTTCCTTACACTTGTTGTCCTGTTCACCTAGCAAGTAAGGTACCTAGGTGTTAGTTGACTGGTGTGGGTCGCATCTGGAGGACAAGATTGAGGACCCCAATGGAAATAAGAGAGACAGTCCCTGGATGACGCACTGACTTTCTTGGGTTATCCTTGGTGGCTAACCCTTCGGGGTTAAAAATCCGAACAAAATCTTATCTTAACGTGCCTGTTACTTGTGTTAACCTGGTTATATTACTACTGGGAGGAAAATAGGTGAGTGAAGGTAGGTATCCTCTCTGTATCGAGGTTAGGGCATGGAGGATCGAGCCTCGACCTTCAGATGAATGACTAACACAATTATAGTGAGTTACATGTGTTACTGAAATATAGTCACATATTACTACTACTACTATTACTGCTGATGCTGCTATTACAACCACTATTACTACAACTACTACCACTATTACTGTTACTACTGCTACTGGTATTAATAATAATAATTATAATAATCTCATAAAGTTCACGATGAAGGCATACAAACACCCGAAAGACAGGAAGAACAGAAAAAGAACACAGAGAACAACCAGAAAGGTGAAACAGAACATTAATGAGGAATTCAAAGTGTGTGCAGCAAAGTAACTGCTTACAAGACAACACACAATATATATTAAAGGTAATACTAATAAAATTTAATCATAGAACGGTTGGAGTTCGAACCATGGGATTCGAACCAATGGTAGGAGTTAAAAGACGGGATCGAGCCCATGGAGGGGCTTCTAAAAGGACGGTTCGAACCTGCGAAGGTTAAAGGGCGGATCGGCCCATGGCAGGGGGGGTTCTAAAAGGACGGGATCGAACCCATGGCATGGGGGTCCTAAAAGGACGGGATCAAACCCATGGCAGGGGGTTCTAAAAGGACGGGATCGAACCCATGGCATGGGGGTCCTAAAAGGACGGAATCGAACCCATGGCAGGAGGGGTTTCTAAAAGAACGGGATCGAACCCATGGCAGGTCCCAAAAGGACGGGTTCGAACCCATGGCAGGGGGGTCCTAGAAGGACGGGATCGAACCCATGGCAGGGGGTCCTAAAAGGACGGGATCGAACCCATGGCAGGGGGGTCCTAAAGGACGGGGTCGAACCATGGCAGGGGGTCCTAAAGGACGGGATCGAACCCAAGGCAGGAGGGTCCTAAAAGGACGGGATCGAACCCAAGGCAGGAGGGTCCTAAAAGGATGCAAGGACCTTGAAGGAGGTAGAAAACTACCTCTTGTATTGCTGCTGTTGGTGATACTATGGTAACTATTTCTACTAGTAATACTATCGCTGCTGACGTTACTAGTTTTACTACGACTTGTGTTTATAATGCTCCTAGTAATAGTCGTAATAAACAAACATTACTTTGTAAGTATCGCCCTTACCATGACCAACAATGTCATGTCAATAATAATAATAATAATAATAATAATAATAATAATAATAATAATTAATAATAATAATAATAATAATAATAATAATAATAATAACGAAAATGACTCGTGAAACTCTATCTGTTCCGTGAGTAGTCAAAATGTGAAGAAATGTTAGAGATGTTACTAATAGCATATTTAACATCATCAGTCATTCAAAACAACGATGTTGAAACCACTCTTACTCACCACGAGATGTCATATTGCAGACAATACCAGATCCAGAGAGCCTCACGCTCTCACTTTGAACTACTCTCTCGAAGCTCTTAAAATTGTTTTTGAGCGGCATTCCATTATAGAAGCAAGACTGGAATGTATTATCACCGTTTGTGTCACTGTTCAGGAGTTGTTGTCCCAAGGATGAGAGGTCGTGAGTGTCACTGTTCAGCAGTGGTCGTCCCTAGGATAAGAGGCCGTGGGTGTCACTGTTCAGCAATGGTCGTCCCTAGGGTGAGAGGTCGTGAGTGTCACTGTTCAGCAGCGGTTGTCCCAAGGATGAGACTCCATGTGTCACTCTTCAGCAGTGTTCGTAACAACGATGTGAGAAGTGAGCTTGCTGGAAGACCTGAATGGAATCAGCGGAGTTAGTCTCTTCTTTATATATACCTCGTCGTATCCCATCGTGTTGACAAGATTGACCCCTCCTCTTGCCCCACCCTCTTATTCCTGTCACCACCGTATCCCTCCCTCCCTCTCTCCCTACCCACCGCTTCCCTCTCTCCCGGTCTTCATCTTCTCTCACCACTCTCCGTGTTTCTCTCATCCTGGGCCTCCATTGTTTTCCATTTCTCGCTTCTCTTCTGTGATTTCTGGTCAATATATCCAGAACCATCTTCTTGGCCTTTTCTTCCCATTTTCTCTTCTGCCATCTTCTCTCCGAGCCTACCACTCTCTTTCACCCCTTTCCCAATCTTTCTTCTTCGCCTCTTCCCACCATCTCCCCGTCCCTCCTCCAGCTCCCCAGTTTCACCACACCCTGCGTTCTCACACTAAATCCAATGCCTCCTTCTGCCCGCTTGGCAAATCCAAATATTGGATGTCGGTGACTGAAAATGAAGAGTAAATACGAATCAACACCACTCTCCTCCCACTCAGTAACAAGTTAGAATCAATGCCAAAGGTTCTCTGTGACATCCTCTCTCTCTCTTCAAAAGTAACGCGCCACGTATGCATCTCTTTCCCTTCAAGACACGCACCACATACACGTATCTTCATGAGACAGGGCTAAAATTCCCTGCCCAGTTGACGTGCTAGTCGGTAAACGAATAACAATGAAAACAATCGGCCAGTCCGGGTAATTGGGCGGTGCCCACTTTTCCGCTCCAGCAAGTTCGTCCACAGCCATCTTGGATTGTCGGCCTTTCCGCCTTAACAGGTCTTCGCTCGGAACTTTCCTCCTCGCACCGTCATGTTTCCTCTATCATTCGGTGTCTTGCAATAACACAAGAAACTGACGTTGACGACCAAGATGCCCTACAACACTGCAGCAAGTGTTATACGACATAGAAAATTAAAAAGGCAACGCTCTTCATAGAAGGAAAAATTTCAAAATCTTCAATGGAGAAAAACCTTTTCAGATTGCCTTACGAAGTTGGTCACAAAATAATAGCTTTATGTCACATGTTCGGAGTTTTGGGCTTTCTTCTAGTCTTCAAAAAAATGCAAACATAAAGGGGAAAAAAGGACCCAAAAAACTTTTTTTCTTAGCACTTAGTGAACATCATAAGGACACGGAATCCCTAACGCTGCTCCAAGCTTTCCGTAGAGCAAAACAAGTCGTTACTGAGGATATGAAACACACAAACAATGTCACCTTTGGACGCAGGAAGGATTAGGCGCCAAAATCTGACTCGTGGCGGGAAAGTGGACATCCGGCGAGATTCTGGAGGGAAGTGGAGCGCACACCGACGAGCCGGCAAACAACTGACATTGACGGAATTATCGGTAAACACGACTTGAATATTTGACTTTTGGGGGGCCCCTGAAGATGGGTGACGGTGTCTGCTGTGCTCCTCTCCTCTCTCTTTTCCCTTTTTTTTTCTGCTGCCTGCACTCTGAAGGAAGGGTAGGGGGGGGTCCTGGTGGTGGGAAGCACGTCCTGCACCTAAAGAAGGGTAGGGGATGTGGTTTCTTGGGTGGGAAGTACAATACCTGCACTCGAAGGAAGGGGAGGGATGTGGTCCGGGTGGGGGGTACAGTACCTACCACAAAGGAAGCGTGGGGGATGTTACGAAAAACATGATTGAATGAATGACGGTTAAATTTCTTTTTTTTCGGGTCACACTTCCTCGGGGGTAGGGGCCCGAAGTGAAAAAAAAATGTTTTATTTAAAAATACTGTTCCGTTTACGGGAAAACCAAACCCCCTAAGATAAAGCTTTTTTTGTAAAAAAATTACAATCACAAAAAACAGTAAATCGGGGTTACAAAAGTGTTTTCAATGGGATAAAATTTTGTTTACACAGGGGATAGAAATAGGTGTTGCTGTCACAGGGGTACCCAATAGACACTGAGTGATGCATGAAACATTTTACACAGTCAAAATTCGTTCGGTTTTTAAACAATTAACTTATTAAATTATACAATAAATTTTAAACATTAACATAAACACTTAGCTCATACATTACTTTTCACTTAAAAACCCAAAAACCCCTGAGGATGGATGAGCGTTAATGGTTTGGTTTTAAAGGGGTTTTAAAACCTACCCATTATATGAGGGGGTCATTAAAGGGCCCTATACAGCCCATTCACCACTTAAACAAGTAGTTTTAATCCTTTTAATAAGGATTTAAATAAAATTCTTGGGGTGTGAAATTATTATATATATATATTTATAAATATATTATATTATATATATAATAATATTATATATATTCATATTTTTAAAACCCGAGATAATCAATACGGTGTTTTTAAAATTTTTCGATGAAGTTTCGATACTTGCTAAGACTGGGAAAAGGCGAAATGGGCAAGCGGGTTCACAACGCGTTTGCACCCTTGTAAAAGAGGGAGTGTAGTTTGTGAACATTTTCTGTGGTGAGGTGTTTTGGGGAGGGTTTTGAGCACCTTTGCCAAAATGGATGTCTTGTGAACATCGAGTTCAAAATAAAGCTATGTTTTTGTGTGACACACCGGCAACGCCTTTTGGTTTGTACGAAGGAAGAAACACTGGGGGTATTTGTACTGGAAGGTTTTGATGAAATTTATTTTTTTATTTTTTTTTAGTGAACACCGCATTTTTTTTTTTTTACAGGGGTAGTTCTAGAAGTTTTATGTAGGCGGGTGGGGGGGGGAGGCAAGGGATGGAAGATGAGGCTGTGGGACTTGTCTTGAAGCAGCGTTATTATTTAGGAGGGGCTTTCAGGGGCTGTTGGACTTTTTGGGGAAAGGGGGGCTTCAGCCCCTCCCTACCTTGGTGTCGCTCATTTTGTGTATACTTGTGATAGTTTAATGCATATGTAAATGAACGGCTTGAATGAACAAGTCTGGTCCGCTGTTAGTCTCTGCGTTGACCATCACAGATTAATAACTTCCGTTAATAAAATAGTTTAAAACCAAACTATGAATTAATGTTTTCGAATGCCAGAGTTAGGACGCTCAGTGTAATATCAAATCATAATTAGTTTTGATGGCTGTGACTGGCAAGGTATAATCACTGAGGAGTATGTGCACTGTATATACAGTAAATGCTTAAATCTCGGAAATTCTTTAAATCCTTAGTGTACCTGTGAAATGGCTTTAATGACCCTATTTCCTTGTGTTGACTAACTGCCCATTAACACTCCTACATGTACTCAAATTACACAGGTATAAGAGGTAATACAAGCATCGCGTTAAAATCTCGCCATTTTGTTGATCGACAGGTTTTAACGCTTTCTCCGTGAGTTTAACAATCGGATATTGCTAGACGAGAGCTCCAGGTTAGTGTAATGTTAGGTCATACTGTGTAAAGTTCGTATGTACGTAGTTTAGCAGTGTGATTGTGGTGATAATTTGACAGGAAAGTGTGACTGCCAGGCAGCCTGATGGGCAGAGATCGATAGGTGGGAGAGCGCTCAATGGGTGTGAATCAGAGGTGCAGGTGTTTGAGCACGGTAATAAGTTAACAGCTAAAACTAACCTTCCGATCCATTTTTTTTGTACACTTTAGTGTTTCACAAGAATCAAATATAACCATCAGAGGAACTAACTTCAAAATTTTTTTTAGTAAAGATAAAATTGCACATTCAAGGCAACATGAATAAAACCAGATTCACATGATTTAGAAAGCTTAGCAAGGTAATATTCTGGTAAATAGAATTTCTAAAAATCTTTATACTGGTAAAAAAAAAATGCTAAAAGCTTTAATCATCCAATTAGTTTCCAAAAGTATGAGTTTTATCTAGCAAGTCTATGGTCGAGAGGAATATAATCAGTATCATAGTGTTGAAAATATGAATATTGCTTTTGGGTTATACAAATTGGATTCATTTATAATAAAACTTGAATATGATTCGTTAGAAAAGTTATTCTTTAATAAATGCTTGGGTAGAATTATAAAACTGTTTCACGGATCTTGTCTGCCTACTTGTGAGGGTGGGGGGGGGGGGGTGTTAGTCTCGTTAACCTTTTGTTTTTATAGTTCCTTCATAATGTTAGAAATTACGAAATCGATAGGAATTTCACTTTTTTCAGTGGTTATTCTGCATATTAATATCACCTATTTACTGTGATCCTTGATACATAAAATTTCTAAGTACGTTCTTCATTAAAAAATGGTTCTGGCTCTGGTGATGGCGAAACAAGATGTGGGAAGACCATTTGAGTAACAGTTCCACGATATTTATTTTTTTTTTTATTTTATTTTTAAAAACTTAATATTACAACTAAAAATATAAAAAATAAAAAACCACCATCCCTAACAAAAGGTATCCAAATGAGAATTATTAGCCCAGTTACCACAATATGAATTGCTCAAACATTCGGACAGTCGCTATATACAACTTGGAGCCCTCCGAGGATGTTCATCATGCATAAATAAAAAAATCAGATAAGAGCTTTGTAGGCCACTATGTCATCCTAGTTACAAAAATGCACTAAAAGCATTGCTATAAAATAAATCATATACCACTATCTCCTCCACACAATAGATATTATATAATCACCATAGGCTAGACCTATAGCATAATCAGCCCCCCACCCAAGCAACATATTTTATAATACTTAAAACATATATAAACAAAATAATATACAAAACATCAATACACGAGTTACATTACAGTGCGTTTCGAACCCATAATAACAATTATATAAATGAAAACAAAACACAAAAACGTAATCGCACACAAGGGAAGCAGACAATGCAGACATAACAGTTGCTCATGGTGAAAAAACTAGAAATGAAACATTATAACAACCTGATGCAACATCCTGTTGCAAATCGTTACTAATAGAATACAGCACACACTACAGCCCCCCCCTATTCCCAACAGCTGTATCTTGCCCGTCGTCACCATTCATAACCAAAAACTATAAAAATAACATTAAAATTAAACATGGTTT